TAATTTCGGAGAGCGCGCACAGTACTTACTACTCTTCATTCTATCCACCAGACGCTTGGCAGGAAAAATATTCAAACCAAAAGGTTTGATTCGATTTTCATAATGGTAGCGTATGAGTGGTAATTGTCAGCATCTGTCTTTACATCCAATTCCAATGTGGGTGTCTTTCACTGCTGGACTGCACGTATGAGCACGCTCAAGGTCGCTCAGCGAGCTATGGAAAGGGCTATGCTCGAGGTTTCTCTGCGTGATAAACTCAGAAATGAGGGTATCCGCAGTAGAACCAGGTGACCGACATTGTCTCACGGATTAGTAAGCTGAAGTGGCAATGGGCCGGTCATATAGCTCGAAGAATTGACAACTGATAGGGCAAAAAGGTTCTCGAGTCGCAGCATCGTAGATGGCATAGTGTGGGTAACTAGGGACTGGTAAGACATGCAGGTGGTCGATGGATGCAGGTGGCTCAAGACCGTGCTTTTTGGCATTCCTTGGGGAGGCCTATGTTCAGCAGTGGACTTGTGAAGGGTTGTAATGATGATGATGATAACAATATGAGTGTCACAAAAACAAGAGTGAAGACATTTTTATTAAACATCTTCGGCTGTACCATCCACTTACTATCAGTTAGTAGCATAGCAGTCAAGCAGTAGCTTATAGTAGTAAAACTTGACTGCCTCGTTGTTCTAGTGGTTGTAGTAGTGTGACTGCTGATCATGAAGTCCTGGGTTAGAATACCGGGTCGGGTAAAAAATCAATTATTGAGTTTTTCCGTCAAGAAATTATCAGTAGCTGCCCGGAGTCAGGAAGTTGGGGGTGTCTCACCCCCGTGTCTAGGAAAACACTTAAAGGCGTTAGTCCTGCACCTGATCTCGCTTCGGTCGTGTCGGTTTACCGTCCCGTCGGATTATGGGAGTGAGGGAATAGAGAGTGCACCTGTGCTTGCGCATACACTTGGGTACTATAATCCTGTCCTGCGCCGATGGCTAGTCTCCGTTGAGACTGACCGGAATTCGGTCTTGAGGACATTATTATAGTAGTAAAAAATCTAGCAAAAGGAGTATGCGGCGGGGCGATATGGCGTTATAACAAATACACTCTGTGCTATTGTGGCATCCGTAGAAGTTGTATAGGATACACGTCGACACACAACACGGAGCGCTGAACGATTTTGAGTGATTCGTAAGGCCAGGTTCTACCAGAACCGCCACAAAGTGAAAACACCTACGATCAAAAACTTCATTCCGCGTTTTGATCGCTTTAATTTGTCAGGCGTTATGCATATTTAGAATCAGCCAAACAGTCGTCTCCATTACCACGGTCGACTGTTTCCACAGGATGTACATATTTATTGACACACACATAAGGAAAGTTACAATTCACAATTTTACAATTTTATTCATTTGGTACAAAATAAAAATGTGCAAACAGTGATCTTTGACTCCTGTGCTAGTTTTAGGCAATGCTCTTCATGTCTCTTTTCTATATTGTACATATTATTTGTGGTCATACTTTTTTATTGTATTTGTAATTTAATTTGTCCATCAATATAATATGTATAATATACATGCATAAGTCGAGTTCGAGTCTGCTTCAAATTTTATTATACGTACGTTATATTTACAGTCTATCAAAGCCCACTGCTTGTCATGACATAGGGCGTAAGCCTATCCTTTCTTACCCAATTCTTGATACTAATTCAATAATAATAATAATAAACTTAATTAAATTAAACAATGGCTAAATCCTGACCGATTTTGACAGTTTAATTTGTTAACAGGCGGAATGGAAACCGTAGTTATTTTACAGTAATCGTTACAGGCTATTAAAGTCTTTATTAGGAAATGATATGGAAGATGGGGAATGCAGGGGATATTTGTTACATTTTCCACGCTTGTCAAGTGGGTTGGCAACCGCAGTTTATTTTTATTTTTAGCCGTTATTGCTGGGACTGTTTCCTATGTCCTTATTATTTGCTCTCTGTCACCTCTTACGACACCCACGGGATTATATGGGGTAGTAGATCTTCTTACGCGGCCACGTAGCATGACAATCCACAGGTGACTAAAGACTTCTGTTTTCATCGTGTTGTGTACCATTAACAGAGTAAGCTGCGTGAAACTGTATAACTCAGACAAAAAAATATTTGCAATGTTTCCGTGGGATAAATTTTCTCGTATGCGATTCGCTTTCTTGAGTTCCATACGTCAGTTCCTCTATAATAAACTTCTTTTTTTAATGTTGGATAAATAGAGAGATTTCATACAGTTGCAATTATCTTAGTGTGAAATCGTAATTAGAATAAATCTATCACAGAGTTGATTTGCGAAAATATGTTTAAGGACTTTTCTCATATTTTTACTATAATTGTAACTTTTTAGTAACGCAGTTAATCCTTTTACTTCCTCAAACATTACCTAAAGAAGCTAAAAGTAAATTTTTTTGAAGAAATTTTGAAATATCTCATGTCAAAAGTGGGGTCAAAATCACCTAGCTCTTTGTTTATAACAACAGCGCCAAAATATTATAGTGTTATTTAGACTAAAGAAATATTAATACTGACTAAGTACCTAGTTGGCACTGAATTCGAATCCCAATAAATAACTATGTAAAATTTAAGTCTACCCGCATTATAAAAACTAGCATTGAAAAGTAGTGATTGATAACTGGTCCCAAATTTTTCTTCGCTACTTCATTTAGATTATAGAAATGATTTCAAAATTCAAAATGAAATTTCTGCAACCATTTTCAATTCGTGCTGACGAGTATAAGGTGGTTTTAATATTACGCTAGGACTCAAAATAAAACAAAACATTAGCTTTACATTCTTATTATTCAGATTACACCTGTATATTCGTATGAAATTTTTACGTACAAGGTAAAAACCTTAACACGCGATTATATGTCGGTAAAACAATTTCGTAAATGATCACATTGAGAGACTCTTTAATAGGTATTGACTTACGTACTAAGAGGCACTTTCTGCCCACAAGTGAAAACTCACCACATGCGTTTACCATAACCAAACCCCCTTTACAAATAGAACTAAAACTATCTAAAATACAGGCTAAAAATATCCAAAATATTGATTGCTTTATGAAAGTATTTTATATTGACGAGTAGAAGCGCTTATAAAACTAACTTTACAGGACTAATAAATTATAACTTAAAATTATTTTTCGAACGTGGTGAGTTTAATCACTAATTTAAATTTCACTATCACCATAAAATCGTAAGACCTATCACATATCTTAAGTCACTTAAATCTAATTAGGCTGGGTACAGATCGCTTTGCTTGGATATAAAATTTAGAAAATTCGCTTTCTCAAAATATTTAAGTATATTAATAGAATTCGTCAGGATTACATCAGCATTAGTATATAATTATAGCTTATAATAGTAGTGACTTACATTTATTTAACAAAACCTTTTACCTACCTTACTATAGTTCTTGTAATCCACGAGTGCGGTCGACCTTTGCATGTGGTTCAACATGTACATGCGCAGTGTGACAGGGTGCGTGCCTGGCGGAACGGTCGGTCGCGAGCAGTCGCCCGCTTAGGGATGTCGATTCTTTCCGAAATAAATCGATTTTTAAATCGATTCGAAGCGAAATCTGATGAATCTATTCACAAAAAATCGAGGTCTAAGATCGCTTTCTTAAAAACCGATCTTTTTTCGATTTGCTTTCAGATTCGTACAAAGTACAGATTACAAACGTTACTTATTTTTTATTTCTTTTATCCATTAAGAAGATACGAAAGAAACTGAGCACACAGCAGTTTTGCTAGTTTTTGAATAGAAAAACTGTCGTTTGGGTACATTCAACTAATTGTAATAAATTTTATAGTTCTTTTGAAAACAGAAAAGTTTCGATCTCAATTTTCTAGGATGAAATATCGACTCACTGAATCGATTCAGTATTATATACGGATAAAATATCGATCTTTTTGGCACAGTAAATCGATTCTTCGATTAATTAATCGATCTCAGATCTACATTCCTATACCCACTCCTCCAGGCACACACATGTCCTCTTCATGTACCTGTCGAACCACATCCAAAGGTCGACCGAACTCGTGAATTGCAAGAACTATACAATATATCATGATATACATAAGGGAAGAAAAATGCAAAATAGGAAATCAGCATATTATAAATCATTCTAAATACATAAGATAGTTTAAGCGTACATAATTATAATTACTAAACTTACAATCATCACATTATATTAAAGTCTATTACATTAATTATGATTTAATAACATCCAAATACTTGATAACTTGAATAATACACTTACTTAAATAAATTATTTCGATATTGTATGAGAACGATGACCACAATCGATTTCTGTTAAGAAACACTTAAAGTGAAGATCAAGATATTTTCTTAACGTGAAACGTGTAAATGGATTTTTGTCATCACCCCACGGTAGGGAAATATTTACAATTGTAGAAACTTACAAAAAAGTCTGAAGAATTAAGAATTAGACACCATTAAGAATTAGTAACTTATTTTCATCGCAAAACAAATAAAAACTGTACGTCTTTAAAATTTAATTTAAATAATATCATTCTAATTAAGTTCGACGTAATGGTACTGTAGAGATTCATCCTTATGTATATGTTGTACATATTAAATTAAAAGTCTGGACAGAACTATATTAGTATTAGACGGGTCTTTCGTATAAGTTTGATATCAGGAAGTCAAGTTATCGGCCACTTGGCATCCGTTTGTCAGTACATCAGGCACTTATTACGTGTATAAATCGCGTATAAGATACAATATATCAAAAATCTTAGGAGCTTACACTAATGGGTATATGTTTAAGCAAATACTTAAAAATTATATTACTTAAAAATTACAATATGATATGTTTCGTTTGTCTGTAGTTTTTCTTAAAGTCAGGAGATGATCGCACCAAGGCAAGTCAACGATACGCAGGTTTTTATTTTATTAGTGCGTCATTTTTTGTGCGTTTGTATTTTTAGTCTATACATTGGTCACAGCGCACATCCATTTCTGTTTCCGTATAATTTTTTAAGTTCAGGCATGATAACGTTTTTGACGAAGGCAGACTGTCGACCAGCGATAGCGTCTCTCTTAGGGTTCTTCACGTAGTGCTTGATGCCGGGCTTGTGGGTGAGGAAGGCGTTATTTAATATCATGAAGTCGTAATCCTTAACGCAGAGGACATAACCCTGAAAAGCATACATATATTTAATGTTTATTGTTAATATACTATATTATGTAAGTCTCCATTTTTTTTCCCAAGAGTTTGTCGACATTTTACCACCCTTTTTATAATCTAGTAGTATTTCCGCAGTAAACGCAGTGCTATTCCTATATAGAGTCCCGCTCTGAGGAGTACGGTTAGTATAATTTAGACTGTGAAGCAATGTATCTTAGTATGTGGGGTTGAAAACACATGTGTCACATACTTTGTTTAAATAAAGTCACTGGTGCTGGGCTGCACCAGCCATTTAAATAAAACTAGCTTTTACAGATTTTATCGTGTGAATGGGTGCGTTTGGCAGAAAAAAGCGCTAGCAAGCGCTTGTAAGCAAAATGGCGATCGTAAGCGGTAAGCGCTGTCAAATCGTAAGTAGCTATTTTCCTCCAGGACACGATGTTAGTTTTAACCGGGGAACCCAACCTAATTTAAATATATGTTTGTAAAGTATTCATATTAAAAACTTACCAATCATGAATTTTTAATAACATATGTATGTCTATTCATGTCATTATATTACTTAAAACTAGGTAATATTGCACAAAACAACTTATAAACTCTACTTCAAAACAAACAAATTAAATAAGCAAAATGGCGGATTGTGTCAGCGCTACTGAAGTAGCAATCGTGTCCTGGCCGAAAACTATTTTAGCGCTTGTAAGCGCTTGCTAGCGCTTTTTTCTGCCAAACGCACCCAATATATTAATAATTTTAATCAGGAGGCAGCCGTGGTTAACTGTCACATGTCAAACACCTCAGTCCCCACAATGGGTGTTGTAAATTGCTCGAAACGTCGGCAATATACAATAAGTTAATATATGCGATAAAATCCGTAAAAACTGGTTTTATTTAAATGTGTAATGTTTGCGTAAATATAAGAAATCATTCAACAATAGCCACTTATCAGGTGGACTTAAGTTTGAATATTTTATGCATGTTCTGACGAACGCGCGGCGTGGTCAGAGTACTGGGCTATTACGTCGTAGGTGCAAATAAAAATTGTTGGATTTTAAGCTTGGTTGAGCGTTAATTCTTATGTCTGCATGACTGCATTTGCCTCCGACATTTCTGCATAAGCGTTACATCAGACACGGTCAAATGAGGACAATATAGTAAATGAGTATACTGATGGTGATATTCGATCCCAGATAAAGATAGTGAACTTAAAAAAATATATTGGTTCATCACAGTGTATAGTAAACTTTGATTGGGTTTTCTGTCAGAATGTTCTCAGTAGCTGCTCCGAGTAATGAAGTTGGGGTGTTTCATCCCCGTGCCTCAGAACGTAAAGCCGTGGCTCCCGTGCTTAAGCTCTCTTTGGTCGTGTCGGATTACCTTCCCATCGGACTAGAATGAGGAAATAGAGAGTGCACTTGTACTTGAGCTTATATTTAGCCTCGGCCCTGTACAGATGGCTAGTACTCGTTGAGATTGGCCACCGTAACCGAAATTCGAAGTTTAACGTGGTAGAGCCATGCTGCAGTTATGTTAGTAGTATAGTTGTAGCACGAATGGGTCGGCTCCACCGGGGAAGGACCACGCTCTCACAGAATTCCAGCGTGAAATACTCGTAGTGGCTTAATGCTGCTGTGTTTTCGTATGGTGAGTCTAGAGAACCGGAGACCCTTTTTACTGGAAACGAGGCATTCCATCTTAGTACTCAAGGGTGACAACGCATCTGCATTTCGATTTGTAATCGAGGATAGATGTAGATGTCCATGAGCCGCAGCATCCACTTACCATCAGGTGGACTATGTGCTCGTTTTTCACCTTATCCTATAAAAAAAAATTCGGTCTCGATGACTATATTATTAGTATATCACACTAAGGTCGGTATTTAGAGATAATTACTAATAAAGTTTAAACTTTACAATGACTAAATTTGGTTATCTCTCTATCTATAAGGTGGTTATACCATAATTTTTCATTGAACACTGCATACTATTCGAGTTATTGTTAACTCATACTTTATGTGTGAATAACTGCATAGCTGCACATTCAATTCAAAGCTCGTGTTCATGAATTTAAGAGTATCGGAATTAAGTGCAGAGTAATCGTAAGAATAACGGTAGAGTTTAACATCGCATTAAATCTCCACATCGATGGTGTTGTTGAACGTAGGTTGTACAATGTACATGCAAATTTTCGATCACTTTAGAACTGGTGTTCAACTGTCGTGTTAATTAATGGATTTAAAATACAGGCTGTATTTTTTATTTTTTTATAGGATAGGGTGACAAACGAGCACACAGTCCACATGATGGTAAGTGGTTGCTGTGGCCCATAGACATCTACATCTATCCTCGATTTCGAATCAAAATGCAGATGCGTTGTCACCCATGAGGACTAAGATGCAATGCCTCGTTTTCATTAAAAAGGGTCTCCGGTTCTCTACACTCACCACACGAAATACAGCAGCATTAAGCTACTATTTGACGCTGGTATTCTGTGAGAGCGTGGTCCCTCCCCGGTCGAGCCGACCCATTCGTGCTAACTATACGTCTAATATAACTGCAGCATGGCTCTACCTCGTATAAAATTGTTGTTATTATGTTAGTTTTGTGAATTTTTATTTCCTTTCATTAGTAATTATAAATTTATCTCCTCTCTCTTCCTCTTTCTCTCTTTCACTCCCTTCTTATCACTTCTTTTCCTATTACTAAAACTAAGAAATAGATCTTATAAAGAGTCGCTGTGCAATGTGTGTATTCGTCACGAAATTTCTAAAATGTACTCGCAACTGACATGCGAGTACTCTAAGCCCGAGAGCGAGGAGAATTTTAGAAAAACAACGCACGCCAAACCTCGACAGATGTGTCGGTGCCCAAGGGTCTATGCGGGCATAAGGACATTTACTGTTCGATTTTGATTTGTTTTATCATAAAATAAAAAACAAAATCTCAACATTACCTAAAAATAATACGCCTTTTAATTTGATATAACTTTGACACAGTTTTATTATGGAAATTCTGCAAGATACGCGTATAAATTACTTGTGTTTAATTTAGTGTTGTCTTTATGACAATTTTTATCGAGCTAATTCTATCTTCACACAGCATTGTAAGTGTAATAATTTTCATGATCTTTGCGCAATTCTTTTTGACATCATGGAAAGCATTTTAGTGGATATTAAGAGGTTAAGATTAAGAGAGATTAAGTTGAAAAGTATGGCAACGTCGCCTAAAAGTTAAAGCAGCAACCGTAAATTATAGAAACTTAGTTGTAAGTGAAACGGATAATGGTGAATGTATTAGTAGTTTTTACGGAAATGTTTTTTCAAAAAGCCAAGACAAGGTAGTAAAACACTCTCGTCGTAGCATACTCTTTACATAGGAATAAATATAATTAAAGGCATTAATCGTATGATTTTCTTAGTAATACCTGAGTCATTTTATCTTTCTTGCCCTCCCAGCTAAGCCGCTCGTCGTAGTAGGGGTCTTGGTGGGTGCCGATGAAGATTGGTTCCCAGTGTACGTACTTGCCTCGACGTTTTCCCACGTGAAATACGTCCATTTCTGCAAATTATACAAACCTGTTATAAATTACATGTAACTGCTGTTACCTGTTACAATAAGAGTGTTTTAGTATATATACGAGTATGCATAGGTTATGCATTTAAATATTATTAATTTATTGTTTCCATTAAAGCCCAGTAAAGACCACTGCTGAACATTGGCCTTCTCCATAGATTGCCTCATACGATAGTTGCCGTAGCTGTCACGCTTGGTAACCGCAGTTTATTATTAGTCTTTATGACGAAGACGCAGAAAAAGTAATTTTTAAAGCACATAAAAGTAGTAGTAGTAAGTGTAAGTGGTGGTGGTGTAAGCATATCCACTGCCCCATATCGTGCCGTGGGTATCGTAAGTGGCGACAGAGGATAATTGAAAGGGCAGAAATATCTCCCTGATAACAATTCAAAATAAAAATAAAAGTGCGGTGGACAACCCGCTCTTCAGGCGTGTCAGCTACGGCAAACCCCTCCATGAGGCAATCTATGGCGGAGGCCTATGTTCAGCGTCGGACTTTTGTTACGCTGTAACGGATGGATTGACATTAAAGAATCAAAAATGAAAAAAAAATAATTTAAACAGGGTACGTTTTCTTTTTATAAAATAAGGGCGACAAATGAGCACACAGTACAAATGATGGTAAATAAATAAATAAATATCATTTTATTGAATCAAAACGCAGGGTGTTGTCACCCCTGAGGACTAAGATGGAATGCCTCGTTTTCAGTGAAAAAGGGTCTTCAGATCTCTACACTCACCATACGAAACACAGCAGTATTAGGCTGCTATTTTACGCTGGTATTCTGTCAGAGCGTGGTCCTTCCCCGGTCGAGTCGACTCATTTGTGCTAAAACCACAATATAGCTGCAGTGTGGCTCTACCACGTATAAATGGATAGACATTAAAGAATCAAAAATGGAAAAAACAATTTAAACATGGTATGTCTTGAGTAAACAAAATTTATTTTATCTATTTTTGTAGATAACGCTTTGGCAACTTTATGAAAATATTTCGAAAATGTCTATTTTATTTGGTTTGCTAGCTTTTTCACCGTAAGTCTATTTGTAATTTGTAAAGTTGTACCATTCTGTATATGAAAGATTTTGCATACTGGCGTAAATGTGTTCGCGAACGTCTGGAAAACACGAGTGTGGTGAGTTCGTTGAACCATAATACACAATTAGAATACCCCATACAATGGCCATGGCTTGCTCCAGCTGGCATAAATAACTCACGATGCTAGCTGCGTGAGATTAATTACTGTTGCATCGTAATTGCCAACGATAAACATTGATGGCCTACGTCATAATCATGAAAATTTATCAATCGTAGCTGTTTCAAGCATTCATACTAAAGGTTTTAAACTTTAAGGATACTTCAAGAATAATTGAATTGATTTAATTTAAATGCAACCTAAAAAGAAAGACAGACGGATCGCCGCGTATATTTCTAGTAACGTTGCAGTGTCAAAGCAAAAACTATGCACACTAATATGCACTAAATATGCATCTAAATCATTTGCAACTAAAACATGGTTCAAGGTGCATATGTGTGCATTTACCACGAGTTCGGCGGTGAAGTAGAACATCATGAAAAAACCTGCATGTCAGAGAAATAAGAAAAAAATATTTCGAAGACATGTGAAGTTCAGCCAACACGCAATGCCGTGGCGGACAATTCTTTGCCCTGAAACTCTCCAAGAAATAAACGGAGGCCTGTGCTCAGGAGAGGGACGTATATAGGCTGTAACTTAAACTTAACTTTTATGTAAGTAAAGAAAGAGAAGAAAAAATTTGTACAAAATGGCATGTTCAGAAGTTGAGTTGAGTCGTCATATATATATATATATATACTATAGTACTTATATGATATATTTACGCAGCAGCCCGTCTATCTTCTTGGTTGGTCTGAAATATAACATATATTAAAAGTGACTGCAGTTTTTGGACGACCTTGACGGGGATCATCACTGAGTTTGACACGTCCACGTTGAAATTCAGCAAACCAGCGATAAATTGTGGTTTTGGATGGGGCTTCATCACAAAATGCAGAAATCATCCGGTCAACACACTGTTTTTGTGTTAAACCACTCCGAAAGTCATAATAAATCATCGCTCTTGAATTTTCTCGAGTCAATTCCATTTTCTCAACGACTAAGACAAAACCTTGTGACAAGACCGAGAATCTTTTTTTAAATAAATAAATGGTATTCGATTTATAAAACCAAGGAATTTTCAATTAAAAAGATTTTAATATGACAGGAACAGTGGATATTATTCCCGATACTTTTAGTGCAGCCTATGTATGTTAGTAGAACTGATTGCTATAAGCGTTCGCTGTATAATAGTTTATCACTATTTTAAGAGCTGCATTAGCTAATGCTTGGCGATAAAAGGAAACACCGTGAGTAAATCTGTATCTCTGTGATCAAATAAACACTAGAGGACATGTTCTGATAACCGTCTACGCACATTGACACATTGGGGTAGCATTTTCTACCATTTAAATATCCGCAGCAGGGAGAATTCCATGCTCAGCAGTAGAACGTATAAACTGTAGTTACTCTTCTTCATATTTGAATTTATCAAATAATATTCATAATTCATAATATTCATAAGTCATAAATATTATATTAATCGAGTGGACCGGTACAGTAAAACAACAAAAAATTAATATTATTTAAGACTTGAAAAGTTTTTGAACGAAAAAAAACTTTTTATTTTTAGTGACTATCCGAACGTTCGTTATTCCATAAATCTGTATTAAGAACTACGTTTGCATTGGGCTTTGGATCTTAAAATAAACTTCGACTAATATAGAAAAAAAATTATGAAGCCACGGAATCTGAGTCGCATCAAATTTCAAATGTTCATGTATATAATATAAAATGTATAAAATGTATTATTATTGTTATGGGGTAATGGGTTTCACGTTACAATTGTTTCGTTATGTTAACTGGAAATATTATGTCCAAATTGTTTTATCATTCTTTTGAGCGACGTAATGCACACCTAACAGTAAATTGAAAAAGAGTTCCCGGTTTTTTTATCCACGTATCTTCTGATATTCGTAATTCTTAAACATCTATAGGAGTATAGTTGTTAGAGGGTTATTTTATATTGATCGTTGGTACTTATTCCAGACGGCTCCATGCTTTGGAAGGCATTAAGTCAATGTTCCGGGAACTTGCTACTAATCTTAGTCATTAAGTCAGGTTGATGGCCTTATGGAAGCCTTGATTAGTCCGATGAATGAGCTGGCTTATCGTTGGGGGGTATCCATTAAACGTTTAGCTTTTTATAGCTAATCTGATAAAAGCTAACTCATTTGATTCTAAGTGAAACGATTTTATAATTAACTTATATGTTTTAAGATTCTCTTATATTTTTTTCTTTTTAAGTTGTCAATGGGAAATCTGTGGTTTGATTTGCAAATGTTTGTGATCATATTATTAAAGATTTTTTTTTGTGTTTCAGTGTAATTCGTTCATATAAACTTAGGTACCCATTTTTTTTCATGACTATCAAAAAGTTTTCTTCGGTTCTAATTGATGTATTAATAAAATTACATTGCATATATGCGCTATTCAGTGTAATTTATACTAAAAATATATGAATAAATTTGTCTCGGAAAATAATAGTGCACCAGGCACCGTTGCATTGGGACCATTATTCTATACTTTTTACGGACTTTAAGTAAAATGCGTAAACTCCATATTTGGCTAACCATTCCATAAAAGTCTACTACTAAATATGGGCCTTCCTTATAGATTGTCCCATAGGGGGATTTTGCCATAGTTGCTACGCCTGGCAGGTGGTGTAGCAATAGTTTTTAACAATGATGAGTTGTTATTAAGGCGATGATGGTGCCCATCTCCTGTCTGAGTTTTCCTCTGGTGCCTATAAAGACACCCACAGGTTGATACCGAGTAGTGGTTCTTAAGCCGCCACTACACGGTTATTTATTGATTTATTATTTAGTTAACGACTGTTGAAAAATATTAGCTTTAATATAGTAGATTCTATTACGGAATACAACAGGATACATATGGATACAGAGTCATCAGATGTTTTTAAATACTAATAAAAGTTAAAGTTACAGCCTATATGTCGTACTGCTAAGGTCAGGCCATCTCTCATTTCTGAAAGGGTTTTAGGGCAAGAAAATGTTCACCGCGCTGCCCCAATGCGTGTTGGCGAACTTCACATGTCTTCGAAATATATTTTTTTCTTATTTCTCAGACTTGCAGGTTTTCTCATGATGTTTTCCTTCACCGACGAGGGCGTGGTAAATCAGCACTAAAAACTGCAATTAACAATTTCATTTTTGCCGGCGGGGATCGAACCCTGGTTGTTCGCTTACTGTGAATAAACAATTTGTGATATAATAATTTCACTAAGAATGGCAGAGTCGGAAAGGGACGTCCTAGGCGAAAATTTATCCACCAAATTAGCGATTTATTGAAAACGGACCAAATCAGGAGTACCCTTAACCGACGAGCATGTATGCGTAGGTATATGGATGTGAAGGAGGCGAGAGAGGTCTGTGAGGATCGTGCCAAATGAAAGTCTGTAGACCCTGCCTACCCCTCTGGGTGACAGGCGTGAGTGTTTATTTTTTTTTTTTTTTTTTTTTTTTTTTGGGGGTATGTATGTATGTATGTAGCTTCACTAATTAACGTGAAGAAAGTCTGTAAGGAATAGTTTCTTCCTACCGCATATCATACGGTTTTTGCAATATATTTTTAGAGTATATGGACAGATATATACAGTTACTTACGGTTAGTTTCAGCTGCGTTCATCCATTGCTGTCCTTGTGGTATGTTGTGGCAATTGGGACACACGTATTTATGGAATGGTATCGCCGTCTTTTTCGCCAGCATCGCCTGTAATTCGGTTTTAGTAGAGGGGACCTGCAATAAAAGAATTAGATAAGTCGACATTTAAAATTTAGTTTTATGCACTATTATAAATAGAGAGAAATTTATGTTTCATTATAACAACAACGCAAAAAGTTTTGTTTATTTTTTATTTATTAGACGGAATATGGAATTAGTAAACGGAATATTTTTTGTTTTTTAAAATGAATTTTATTACAAAATTATAGAGAAATCTAAAACACCCTTAAAATGGTATATATAAACCACATAGAATTAAGCGAGTAATTATCGTAAATAAACAATTTATTATGTGGCAAAACAGCACAAAAGGGGTCCTTTATGTCTTGAATTTTGTCTGAGTAGATAAAACTGTTATTGTGCATTTACAGTGTATTCTAATTTGAAGGGTAAGAGGACATTATGATTACAGGCTATGGGGCATTCTATTTCAGTCTTAGACCTCAGCGTTGACAACGCATGTGTTGCCTTAAATCTTAGAAATCGCTTGCATGTGATTGCGGGTACTTACGCACCTTATCAGATGGGCGAAAAGACATTTCTAACTTGTAGTATAGAAATATTTCTAACTACAAAAGATCGTTTTACAAAACTCACATTATTTATGTGTGATGCATCTAAAAAACTGCTACAAAATATACGTCAACATGGAATTTTGGATAACTCTGTTACAAATATTTCGAGCATTTAAAATATTTGTCATAATGTAAAAGTTAATAAAACTTTAACAATTTTATTATGATATATAACAGTAATACTAATCTTAAATAAATCTAAGGCATTTCATTGCTTTAACCTTATAAATAAGTACATATTTAAATAATTAAAATTATAATAAAGTAAACCGGGTACTGGCGGTGTAAGATCATCCACTACACCATATCGTCCTGTAGGTGTCGAAAGACAGGGACAGAGGAAAAATGACACACATGGGCAGCAGCATACTCCTGATAAAAATTAAATAATAAAAAACTGCGGTTGCCAATCCGCTTGCCAAGCGTGGCAATTATGGCAATATTAAGCAATCTGTGGGGGAGACCTATGTTCAGCAGTGGACTTTTATAGGCTGCAATGGAAACATGGAAGGATAATAAAGAGAACGAGTAGGTGAGTAGGGCAAGCAATACCATAGACATATTATACTACTGCGTACAAACAACAGATTCAGACTTATGGATGCGATAATTAGAAATAAAAAAGATAAATAACATGTCATTTGATTTTATTTTATTAAGATTACAGAGTAACGAAGACGAACTATGTATATTTAAACTTTGTACTGTGTTGTAAATCATAAAACCCGAAAGTACGCATATCTCTATAGGTATTTAATAATTTATTTTCTCGTAAATCTTTTACCTTCTTAACCCGAGTTATTAAGAAGTCATATTAAGTAATAGTAGAGACACAAACGCGGAAAAGCTTGGGTACATAATTTGTACAGATTAATTCATACGTATTCTTAACATGCATACTAATAATACATTATATATATAAATATAATACTTATTATTTATAATGTTTACGAGTATGTATTTTATAATATAAATAATGATATAAGTATAAATATAAAGTAAGTTTAAGGCTGTTTACTAGACGTAACATTTTTTATTTGCACCAGTAGTTTTCACGTGCCAATTTTTTTTCGTTGTCACTTAAGGTTGACCGACAAATGATGCCATGTTATACCATTAAATACAGCAAATGCACCCTATATTTTCATATATTTATATTGAGGAATAAATAAATAAAATATAAATACGCAAGAATACGACTAAAAATAAATTATTTGACTTTAAAGCATAATATATCGATTACTTACTTGAACTTTTGCGTCTACTTCAAATATACTTATAGGGAAGACTCTTGGTTTAGTGGAAGTGTTTAAAGGCTTTGCGTTCCTGGCGATCATATTGAGGAATCGGGGTATAAGATTCGGGCTTGGATACAATTCTATATCGGATGGAAGAATGAAGTGCGTCAAGGCAGAGTCTCGAGCTATGTTCCTTGCAACATTCACTGGGTACAGTAGGTTTTTGGCCTTCATGTAAGTTGTGGATGCGTTGACGTAATAAGGCGGCTGTGTTGTACAGTTGTATGGCGTCAGAAGAAAGGTTTCGGGATCAGGAATCTAAAAAAAGAAGACAAATTTATAAATATACCTACAATTTATTATTGAAGCACGGTTATTACATTATATTCTCAAACTTTTGAGGAATTATTTTTATAAAAAATTAGGCAATGTTCCTTTTGTTTTTTTGATTGTTTGATTGTTTGTAGTTTACGAGTAACAAAATGCGGGAATATGCGTTATAATGTATGATTTATGACACATACAGTATAAGATTTATTATATTTTATGTTTTGTTTTTAGAAATTGCGTACCTTGCTGGGTATGTGTTTGTTTGAAAAGAAAACATGGAACGTGACGTATTGGCGGATGAGGTCGTTGCCAAGGCAGTCGCGGAGATAGCGAATGCTGTTCACAGTAGGAGCTAAATCGGCACCGGGGGCATGTATCGCCAAGCTCACCGGAGCCATCCACCTGTAAGCAAATGTGAAGTTATACCATCATAATTTAACTTAATTAAAGGGACTTAGTTAATTTCATCGATACGCCTAAGTGTTCAGGGAACACAATCGCGTGACTAACTTAGTTTACGTTTCTGTCACAAGTTTATGGGATATCGTTGAGATTGATGTAATTCTAACACGCATTGCTCAAATTATCACTCTGTACTAACAGAGGGCTACTTTCTTGATCAATACTGTTTGATACTGACAACCGTGGTACGTCATGAAATGAATGATTTTTGAAATGAAATGAATGATTTTTATTCAATATAGAATATTGCATAATACTTATTATAAGGTATTTCTTTATTTACCACTGGTTCGGAAAAAACACCTCTGTCCTGGGAAGAACCAGCAAGAAACCCAGCGGAATTTTTGTTAAAACATATAACTTTACAATAATTTATTTTGTACAATTTTTGAATTAAATTTTATAGTACCAACATGGTGGTGATCACCTCATTCCCAGGGATTATTTTCATTTATCTATTCTTTGATATTATAATAACCCTTTTTGTACAATGTTTCTTTAATAAAACATTTAAGCTTGTTTAATGTCAAATTTTGTACATTTTCTGAAATTTTGTTGTAAAAGCGTACCTATACATTGCCCCATAAATGAATTAGGTACTAATTCTGTGGAGTCTAGTAGCTGGTATTACAAGCTTATGTTTGTTCCTAGTATTTAAAGTATGAACATCTTTATTTTTATGAAAGCTATTTATGTTTTTACGTACATATATTACATTTTCATAAATATATTGCGATGCCAAAGTTAACTGTTTATTTCTTTAAAATTTTCTCTAACGGAATCTTTAAGATTTAGGTTATGAATCGCCCGTACGGGTCTCTTTTGCAAAACAAATATGACTTCAATGCCATTACCCCATAGTAAGATTCCATAAGCCATTACGCTATGAAAGTATCTAAAATAAACTAATCTAGCTGTCTCAACATTGGTGAGACTTCTAATCTTTCTTACAGTAATATGCTGCAGAACTAAGTCTGCCTGCTAATTCAGATATATGCTAATGAGATATATGATAAGTGTAAAATAATAATTGTAACTCGGGATATGTAAATGTACGGAAGCACATTTAAATTATTTACCACGTGCCCAACGGTGAAAAAAACTACGAAAGGAAACCCGCACTTCTGGAAAATTATTTTAACATTTTGTATTGGGCTTTTTTATCTTATAGGGGAATATTTGCCATAGTTGCCACGCTTGGGGTGGGTCCGCAGTTTTTTGAAGTGAAAATTTCTTTAGCGGCGTTGTACACTTTTTTTGTAATGGGTAAAAAATGTTAAACTCGCGTCAGGACACGTGACCTGATCGAAAATTCGTAAGACGGATGGAGAGTAGGAGAGGAAGTACCCCCTCTCTTTCTACGGCGCGGCGAAAATGTGTGCATGTGCCTGCTGTTTCGTTTAAGCGGCGCAGGGCGCTTGCGCGAATGTAATATAAATTGTCATGTTTGTGTACGATAGCGCAATCAATATATAATGTATTCTACCACATAAATGGTAGTACTTTTATACTGATAATTAAAGCAATTCGTGCAAAATTATTCCCTAACCATTCCAAAATATCAAAAATGCACAACGTTAATATTCAAGATTTCACTTCTGCCGGCACTCCCGGAGTGCAACTCGTCGTTTTTTTTTAAATTATTAAGTTGTTATTATTTATTTTCAGCTCATGTTTCATTTTCATCTATCGCCTCTTACTACACCCACGGGATGTTTTGGGGAGCAGATTTTCTTAATCTGCATTTATACGACTAACTGGCCACACACGTTCGACCAGAGTAGCTGAGTCTTCTATAACATAAAACCCACTCAGAAATGGGATGGGGCCAATTCAATAAAATCTACGTGGTATAGTCATGCTGCAGCGAATTTATGGCTACAACGCGATTGGATCGGCTCGACCGGGAAAAGGACCCACGCTCGCGCAGAATTACAACGTGATATAACAGCGTAATGAGAACCGGTGAACCTTTTTATTGGTAACATCAGGGATAATAAACGCATCCGGATTTTGATTCTTAATAAAGGCTAAATGTAGGTAGTCCACCTGATGGTAATGAATGCTATGGTGCCATCCATTATCATCAACGACTTCTTAGACTTCTTAAAGAGCATTACTTGTCTGAATCGTTCCAACATCATTAGGATAAATTATGTGATTATGTAGTTTTTGTATTTATTTGTTTTATGTTATTGTTAGAGGGATTTTTGTAATTTACTTTATATATATATGTATATATGTGTGTGTGTGTATGTTTATTTATATACGTATGTATAAGTGTATCATGTGTATCAGTTATTTATATGTTATTTTATTGCATGTATTGATATTATATTATGTATATTTATATTGCACCACCTACCTAGTATTCACTGTTTTATTCCTTTACACCTTTGGTTGCACGGAAGAGATCGCTCTGTAGCGATGAGGCCGCCAAATTGTACATATTATAATCTGCTCTTTGTGATGTTCTTTTTCTTTGTAAAGTTTGTGGTGTACAATAAAGTATATTCATTCATTCATTCATTCATTCCTTCATTCATTCATCATCAGGTGGACGTTGTGTGACATAAATACATACATACAAAACATACAAACATACAAAAATACACACATAAATGTGACAATATGTCACATTTATGTGAAACAAGGTTTTGAAATAAGTTAAAATTAAAAAAAAGATTAAAGAAAAATAACGTACCCATTATCACACGATCAGACGATCACCCCTCTATATCGTCTTTAATTGTTTTGTTTTACAAAAGCGGGTTCCTAGCAACTAACCCGCAATTGATATAATAGATAGGGTACAAAGGAATAAAAGGTGCGTGCTGGATTGCTATCGGATCATGAATTTCACAGTTGCTCTCATTTTACGTTTTGTTAGCGATATTTTTCACGCTCCACTTTACGTTTTGGGCCGGACGTCTGCTTTAAAGAGGCCATCGTTCGTCCGGTCGATTCGACTAGAGTAGCGGTTGCATGAATATTGCCTAACATGCAATAAACAAAAATTGCAAGCAAAGATTACGTCGTAGGTATATTTGCAAGTTTGTGTATGCATTGATTTATTACCGTCGTCAATGTAATTGTACACAGTTGGAAAATTGCGAAAGCGCACTTATTTGAATTCGTGTCGCGGAATATTTGGTTAATAATAATTTCCTAAGCTTCTCTAACTAAACCTTAATTATAGAATTTTAAAGGTTTTAGAAATGGTTTTATCACAAGCAATTAAAGAAAATAACGATGCTTTACCAGATATAGTTGGAAATAAATCATCCTATATGACGTTTTACTTTGTTGCTTCTTATAAACGATGCAAAGCACCTGATGTAAAGTTGTAGCCTATATACCTCTGACTAGTGGGCACAGGCCTCGACTCATTTTTGAGGGGCTTACGGAGCTTTTATCCCGCCGCGCTGTTATACTGCGTGTTAGCGGACCTTACATGCCTTTGAAATAATTTTATTCCTTTGAGACTGTAGAAGTAAGGAGCACCAACTCCCATAGTAGAATAGTTGAAAAAGTTTCCATCTGTAAGCAGTAAATAACAGTTCAAAAACTCTCCACAACAGCGCTGGAGTAGCTACTGGGATGAAATGAACTCAGCAGTTGTCGACGGTTTGAAGTGTGCTGCTAAACTGCTCAGTAGCTCTAAAATCTAAAATAATTTTATTTAGTAAATATAACCTCGAAAAAGACGTACGAAAAAGACGTCTATCCCACTAATATTTTTCGGCACGTTCTTTAAAATTTAACCCGTAGCTATAGTGGCGCCACCCTTATTTAACGGTTTTCTATGGACACTTTTTAATACACAGTCTGTACTCCTTTCTTCTACACTCCATAATATGCAGGTTGCCTCACGATATTTACTTCACCGTGAAGCACTTGATGAATCATCTCCTAGAATTACGATTTACATTTTTAATTTTGATAGATGCCAGTGGGGATCGAAGCCGGGTTGTTCGTATAGTAAATTTCACAAATTTGCGACAAGTGAGCTACCATGGCTTTTTTTAACTACCGCGGTTCGTTTTTTAACGGTGGAAGTACCACTTAATAATGGCTTTGGCAATTACAAGACCTTAAAACCTGAGTAAAAGGAACTTAACTTTAATATTGCAAAAATAATAGAAAAAGTCTCCATCCGTCCATTCGTCCGGATAAGACACCACTCTTGGTCTATCGAGGTCTATATTACTGTGTTCCGGTACAGCAATACACGCATTTCTGTTTAGAAACAGTTTGAAGGGTTTCAGGCAGTTAGTATAATTACAGAGCAGCCTGTATTCCATCTTAGTCCTTAAAGGTCAACGGATCCGTATTCAGTTTTTTTGTTTAGTTATTTGGCGGTGTGCATGGGCCGCAGCAGCTACTTACCATTAGGTATACCGTCAGTTCGTTTCTCATTTCAGTTTAACAAATAAAGATTACACAATTAAACAGGAAAAATACGTGGTAGAGTCACGCTGCAGCTATATTATGGTTGTAGCACGAATAGGTCGGCTCGACCGGTGAAGAACCACGCTCTCACAGATTACCAACGCAAAATGGCAGATTAATACAGCTATATTTCGTATGGTGAGCGTAGAGATCCGGAGACCCTTTTTTACTGGAAACGAGGCATTCCATCTTAGTCCTCAGGGGGTGACAACGCATTTGTGTTTTGATACTTAATCGAGGATAAATGTAGATGTCTATGGGCCACAGCTTCCACTTACCATAAGGTGGACATGTGCCCGTTTGTCACACTTGTTCCATAAATTAAAATAAAAACTTCGTATATTTTCTGCGCTTTCGATCGTTGCTATCGTTTGTACAGACGCGCCATTTGGCTTAGTACCTATTTGAAGGGTGTTGGGGTGGCAAAAGCTGTTAAATCAATATTGCGCACCTTCATTTATAAGCTGCTCCTTCCTCGCCACTCCCTT